GGGATACTAATGTCATAATTTTTTTCAAAAATATTTTAGACAATTCCATGTATGTATTAATCTTTTTCATTCTTTGTAATGATTCATATGATTTCAACGTATTTATTATTCATTTAATTATAGCCCTTCTCATGTTTCATGGTAACACTATTTCGCTATGATGTACACGAAGAAGGGAGATAGTGGATCAAAAGATTTTCACAATTTAAATTCTAGTAGATACTGCTAACTGCCCCTTAAAGACAACTAGCACTGTTTAAGGAATGATGTTTTGTTAATAAGCTATCAGATCACACTTTTTGTTATTTATTTGACCTACCAGTTCCTCAAAGTCGTGCATTATAATTATGGACTTTCCCCCCCATTTCACCATATTCCTATTAGTTTTGTTTTAAATATTTCAACACTGCATTGTTAGATATATAAATGATTGTGACTGCTATAAGTTCCTGTGAATTTCACTTTTTATTTTTATAAAACCTTTAAAATTTTTTTTTGTCAATCTCATTCCCATCTGCAATATTTGAGAGCACATATTTCCTTATTGATCAAACTTGTTCAGTTTTGCAATGAATACTACCATTATTGTGACGGTATCTAATTTTGAGTTTTCTTTTTATTATTTTTCCTCTGTTATTGTTGCTTTGGTTGTTGTTTTCCTATCATTATTTATATCAGTTAGATTGAAATTCATTTTTCTTTGTATTGTTTTCAACCTAATAACACAGAATTTATGTGCTCATTTCTACTTTTCCTATAGTTATGACTGTATTGCACTTTAGGTAAGCTTTCTACCGCTGAGCTACATCCCTGACCCTACAAACTCCTAATGGTTTAATACATTGTTTACTTATTCTATCAATGTCTGGGATTAACTTGCTCTTAAACCCTAACTTGGAACTGGACGAGAATCTGACCTGTCTGTCCCTCTCTCTCTTCCAGCTTTTACTACTCCCCATCTCACATGTTAAATCATCGAGAAATTTAGCTATGAAGTGTTTGACCAACAATTATCTAAACTAATAAATGACTTTTATTTGTTCCTTTACTCACTCCTGTTCCTCAGGTTTCACATGTGCCCATCTATTCTCTCTTCATCCAGAAAGGTGAGTATTAAAATTTCTGAGTCTTTCCATGATATGAAAATGGATTTTTTTCTCCTGCTTGAATCATATATTATTTGGATATAGCATTCCATATGCATGATTATTTCCCACCACACAACTTTTTGAAGAGTTGCTTTTTTATCTTTTAGTATCTAGTGTGGCTAATGAAAAGTCTGGTGTTAGTACTTGCTTCCTCTATAGATAATTGTTGTTATTTGTGAAATTTTAGGATAGTCTCTATATTCCTTGTTTTTAATATTTCATTACATGACTTTGGAAGTAGTTGTTTCTTGTCATTCTTCATGCTTGATATTTAAAGAGACATTTCTTTCTGAGAATGCTTGACTCTCTTCAGCACTAAACTTTTTTTTCTAATTATATTATTAGCAAGTTACTTCCACTCCCACTTTACTGGTCTCTTTGTTTGGGGTTTTTACTACATACATGTTGGACTTCTCAATCAATGATTCTCATGTCTCACCTTTAATTTTTTTCCCCTTCTTAAAAAAGGCACATTCATATATTGCTGATGGGACTGCAAACTGGTACAAACACTATGGAAAGCAGTATGGAGATTCCTCAGAAAACTTGGAATGGAACCACCATTTGACCCAGCTATCCCACTCCTCCGTTTATACACAAATGACTTAAAATCAGCACACTACAGTGACACAGCCACATTAATGTTTATAGCAGCACAATTCACAATAGCTGAACTATGGAACCAACCTAGGTGCCCTTCAACAGATGAATGAATAAAGAAAATGTGTTCTATATAGTCAATGGAATATTACTCAGCTTTAAAGAAGAATGAAATTATGACATTTGCAGGTAAATGGATGGAGTTGGAGAATATCATGCTAAGTGAAATAAGCCAATCCCAAAAACCCAAAGGGCAAATATTTTCTCTGATATGTGGATGCTAATTCACAATAAGGCAGTGGGGGTGGGAGTGCTTAGGAAGAATAGAGTTATTTTAGATTAGGTAGAGGGGAGTGAAGGGGGGAGAGCAGGTATGAGGATAGGAAGTGTAGTAGAATGAAACATACATTATTACTTTGTATACATATATGACTGCATTACCAGTGTGATTCTACAACAGGTAAAATCAGAAAAATGAGAAATCATATCCCATTTATGTATAATATGTCAAAGTGCCTAAATGCATTCTACTGTCATATATAACTAATTAGAACAAATAAAAAAATATATAAAGTAAAAATTTTTTCTCCTTCTCTTTGACTTTTTGTACGGTGTTAGGCACTTTCAGTGCTGCTTCCAGGCTCAATGATAGAGAACTCCCTGCATACATTTTGATGTTCAACCCATCAGTTGAGGGTTTTGCTTTTTTAGAAGAAATTCAGCAATAAAATTTTTATTTTTTAGTGCCTAAAATAAGCAGTTAGATGAGCATCTGGAACACAGCCACAGTCCCAACTGCTGGTGTTCAGGGAACTTGTGCGCCCCTAGTGGTCAAGGCAAAGCACAACCAACCTTGCTGCTTCCCCAGCAAGCACCAGCTCACCCCTGAAGTGGCATGCTGGATGGAGGTGTGCCAGAGTGGAGTCACCAGGAGCAACATCTTCTCACCTGAAATGGATTTTTTTGCTTTCAATATTTTCTCATATCCCTTTCAGTAAATTAATTATACTTTTTAAAAGATTTTATTCTAATTGCTTTTGGTAAACTCTGTTTCCATGGACATTGGATATTCTAATGATTACATTTGGTGTATCTCCTCCATCATATTGTTTACTCTCAGCAATCAAATGTTTCTTTTTTTCTTTCTTTTTTAGTTGTTTCTTGATCGTTGTTCAACCATTTTCTTCTGATTATGTATTTAAGCTTTGATGTGAATGCCATAAACGTTTGCCACAGCCATTTCCAGTGCTCCTGAGAAAGAAACAGGATGTATTATCCTGAAGTTCAGGAGCTGGATTTCTGAACCTCTCCTCATTCTTTCTTGATGTGACCATCCACCTGGAGATGTGCCTTGCCTCTTAGGTCCACATACTCCCTCACACATCCTTCTCAGGGAAAACATTGTAAGTGATTCTTATTTGGAGTGAGTTGGAGTGGGAAGAATTCATATGTCTAAAATCTACTGGTCCACCCAAACATTGACCCTGGGTAATATTCTGAACCTTTTTCCTGCTCCTTTTGCTGCTACCTCTGAAGTTCTATTACTCTGAAACTTTGTCAGCATTTTTTTCTTAACAGACATGTAAGGCTGTGGTTCTTCCATCTATTGGACTCCATCTGTTTTTTATCTTTCTAAAATAATTCATAATTTGGGAATACTAAAATTTTCCCTCCACTTTCTGATTTTCCAGCATTGCTATGAGTTCATTTACTTAACACATCTTTTCTTATCATAGACCTGGAGCAGGAACCGGAGATCATAGTTCTCAAGAGGTCATTTAATCCAATCCCTAAGTGGAGTTGCTGAGTCCACCTGGTTTATTCCTTGCTGCAACAAAAGATGATACACTTGAAACTGAAGGCAAATGAAAGATAAAGATTACAAATTGAATTATAAAATAATTAAGGGCAATAAGAAAGTGCCTTATGGATAATAAAAAATAATGAGATTGCTGATAAAAAATAGATTCTAAAAGGGCAGAAATTATTTGGAAATGAGAGACATAGTACACAGTTTAGACAAGATATAGTGAATTTTGGAGTCCAAAGAGCCATATTCCTTTTGAAGTTACTCTGAAAAGTGATTGATGAAATCTAATAGAATCTTTAAAAGCATTTGTCAAAGAAAGATTGAATTTTGATTATGGCTTAGGCATTGATTGATTACATACCTCTTAGGATTGATATAACCCCCAAATTAACAGTCGCAAATTTTTTATTTCAGAATTAAGAAGCATAAGTTAAGGATGATGCCACAACGAGGGATTTGATTTTCCTTCTTTCTGTTTTTCCTAAATATGCAGCACTCATAAATTTTAGGTTTAAAGTGTTTATTTTGCACTTACATTATTTTCTTTATTTAGATTTGTTTTTTTCAAGTTGGAAATGTTGCTACAAGAAAGTTATGGACTTTTAGTCTGACAATTGCTATTTTGAGAAGGCAATTTCTAAAAAAGTTGACATAAAAATCTCATATCCTTATGTGGTTATTGTTGGCATTGATCAATTCTTATTCATTTCTTACACAATAGTGATGTGTCAAAATCGTAGCCAGGAAAGAGGAAGACTTATAAACATAGCTACTTTCCTGTGCCTACACACCTACTAGTAGTAAATGTGAATATTTAGTGTTTATCTTCTAGAAATACAAAAAAAAATGGTGGGAGAATGTAGATTCACAAATATCCTGATGGACAGTATCCAAAACAACTGTCTAGTAGCATGAATTCCTGAGTATACTACCCAAGTCTCTTTTCTCTCCTCTCCTTCTCTAACACATGGCAATCATAGCCATCTAGTTACATTTGGGAAACAAAATTTAAATAAAATGTTTTAGTACATTCTGATGCTTGTTTGCAAACAGGTATGGAAGTCTACTCTTGCAAACAAGGACAATTTTGGTATTCAATCCTCTTTTGGACAACAGTAACCTATACAAAGGAGTAAGTAATGTTGCAAATGAAGACCTTAGACGCCAGACACTTTGTTAGTCAGAAACATTTCTAGGGGAAGCAACTAACTGATGTAGGTGTAATGAACACATAAGTCTAGATGAAGACTCTGCTTTTGTGGTTGATTCTCTACATTTTGCAAGAAACCACATTGAGAAACATCATATGGGCATGGTTGAATGCCTCAAGCCTTAGTTAATGAATGAACCTGTTTTAAATTGGCTTATTTCTGGTCTCCCAAGAATTTCTACTTTTGTTCTCCTTAGTGTCTTTAAAATTTCAGGGGCATTTGAGTTTCAAAATGCCTGTAAGCTGGAACAAGATGATTTTGCTACTAGGAATGGTCTGTTTGGAACAAGGCACATCTGCAAATCTTCCTCTTCCCAAAGGTAAGTTCCAAATAAGCTCTATAACTACCTTTGTCTGAAGGAACCTTTACTGAGAATGGGCATCACAACTGCACTCCATATTATTTTGAAAAAATTGAACAAGCAAATATGTTTTAGAGATCTGATTATTTCTTCAATAAATTTTTAATTTTGCTCCTACAATCGGCATGTGAAATAGGGTGAAATGCTTAAGGAATGCAACTAAGTTTGTTTCACTTAGGTGTACTAAGTGAACTGGGGTTATTTATTTATTTATTTGGACATGTTTCATACTACCATCTTTCATAGAGCAAACTCTGCACATAAGCATAGGTCTAGAAGCATTTGTAATCTTTTGGAAAATTATATTGCTAGGAAATATGAAGCATGTTCACTGTGATATATTGGAAATAGTCTTTTCCTTGTGATTATCATAATCTGAAAATAGTTCTTGGCAGGCTTCTTTGTGGTCAGAGTTGTGCCAGCCCAAAGAACCACCATGTTTTCTGTCTTTGCCTCAGTGAGTTCAGGAAATAATAAATGTCTGTCTTTGCTTCAGTGAGTTCAGGGAAACAATAAATTTTGTATCTAAATTATTTATGACTCATTCAGCTGAAGCAGTAAGAAAATAAGATGTTGATCCAACATCGTACTCCCATTGGCTTCAGAATAAAAAAAAAATTGAGCATTATATTCATGCACTGCTATCATTTAGGTGAGCATCTCTTTTATTCTTTTATTTTTTCATCTGAAATGTGAAGATAACAATGCTTGATCCTTAGGCATGGAATGAAGATTAAACAGGGAGTCCTATGAAAGAGGTTTTTATATTTTAGCATATTTGTCTAAATATCTGTGTTATTAGAGATATGTTCTAAAGAAAAAACATTTTGATGACTCACTTAATTTCCAGGGAATTTAATGCTCGGAATTGTGCTAAACCTAAGAAATACAGAGATGAATAAGATGTAGGTCTTTTCCTCAAATAGTTCATGGTCTGGTGATGGAGCAAACTATACAAGTATAGCATGGTAAAAACGATTAAGTGATGGGCTGGGGGAGAAGGATTGCTACACAACCCAGGGGAGAGACCCTTAACCCAGTTTTAAGAAATCAAGGACGACTCCTCACTTGAGATGATTTCCAAGCTCAGAAGTAAATGAGAGGATTTATTTAGGCAAAGGAGTGGGTAGATTATGAGACAAGATTTTATAAATCCTCCTAAAATCGTGTGGAAAGACATACATGTGACATGCCATCTCTGAATTACCTGGTAGAGGTCAGTATCTTTAATCTAACCTATTTTTTATTTGAGAAGTCAAAAAAGCCCACGGAGTGCAAATGAATGCAAATTTTTTAAGGGATAAAGTCTTTTCCACAAAGAGGAAAGATTTGTCTTATTACCTGGCAACCTTCTATTCTAAACTCTGGTATGTGAATCAGGACACTGTCTTCACTCCACAGTCCTTTCCATCCCAGCAGAGAAATAAATCCAGTAGCATTTGTTAATATATGACTGTGTGACTGGCACCACAGACTGCAGTCTCAGACTCAGTCTCATGAGTGGAACAGAGAAATATGCACACAACTGCAATGAAAGCAGAGGATGTTATCACCGACAATTAATTGAGCAACTTTATTCTTTAAGAATTGTGGTAGATGTTGTGGATGTCAGTATTTCTAAGACTTATGTTCCTATATTTGAGGATCCCACCATACAGTTGTGTTGAAAGACACAGAAATAGCCATAATGGTGCATGATAGATATCATAGAAGAGAATACAGAGTGCTGTGAGAAACCTCTCAGGGGCTAGAGAGCTCAGAATCAAAAGAGGTCTGCATTCCTAATAACCCACTGGAGACCTCCTCCTGAGGCCTTAACCCATACTTCAGGAAAGTATATCCCTTTATGATATACTTGTCCTACATTGACACAAACTGAGCAATTTACTGAAAATTAAAGCAAATCCCAACAACTAACTTAGAATCACTTTGTAATCTTTCTACTCCCTGTCTTGCTGATTTTTCATGCTCAGAAGGCTTTCCTATGTTTCTCAGTATTAGAAACTATTTAGTCACTCAATGCTTGTCTTATTTTTTCCCCAGGTACTGAATGTGGGAAGAATCTGGCTAAGATAGGGCCTCAGAATTATTTTAACATTTTCAGTCGCATTGTTGGGGGAAGCCAAGTGAAAAAGGGTTCTTACCCCTGGCAGGTGAGTCTCAAGAAATATTCTCTGGTATGTGAGTTGTGAGATGTCTCAGGGATGGATCTCCTCAATAATTGAGTCTTCAGTGCTCCATCCTGTCTAGTCCTTCACTAACAATCTTATGAGTGCATACAAAAATCCAAGTTCCTCATGATGTGCAATTGAGTTCCAGAAAAAGTTTGTTCAGAACAATTATACGCGCTGTTGACTTGAGTCACAAACTATTAACAGTAATGCAATCCATAACTTTCAACCCTTAAGACAAAAATACCACTTCAAGAAGCTAAAAAAATGAATTTACTATTTAAAAAACAATTTTTGATTGAACGAGTATATTTTAAAATATATTTGACTTGTTATAGTTAAAGACCAGAGAATCCACTTTGTGCTTGGGGTGTAAGGTTCTCACGTATATAATAGGACCTCTCACAGAGCAGTCAAGAATACTGCCTCCTTAGTATCTAATGTCCTAGGAATTCTACCTCAGTTTAATTTCCTGATCCTTCTATGACATGAAAATGGATTTGTGCTTCTGCACCAGCCCCAGGGTTTGCATCTATTGTCTTTGAAACTCTTGAGATTTTCCTTACCCTTGAGGGAATGTTATCTTCTTGCTTCTTAAATTTCCATTTAAAGCAATCCTTCTTAATTTTTACTTCTCATGGATAAGTCATAACTTTTAGGTCAATGAACAAATGTTAATGGTTGGTTGATTAAGTTTGTGTTGGGGAGGTTGACTGATTAACTGAGTAATTGTCATTTGATTAACTGTTTAAATACTTGATAGAGTAGTTAGACTGATCAGTTAGTTACTTGATCAGGTATTTTTCTAGACAGTTTAGAAGTCCATGTTCAGTTCCTATTAACAGTAATTCATTGACTTTTACTTACTTGCTCTTTGTTCTATTCTTGGCCTCTTCACTCTGTTTCTCTCTTTCTCTTTCTCCCCCCTTTTCCTCTCTCCCTCTCTCTCCCTCCCTCCTTCCCTCCTTCTCTCCCTCTTCGTCTTCCTCTTTCCCTCTCTCTCATGCTGAGGATCAAACCCAGGGCCTCACAAATGCTAAGCATGCCTGAGTTCTACCACTGCCCCCTCTGTATTACTTTTCCTTTGATTTCTCATTAAATAATTTTGGTCAAAAGTGGACAATTCTAATAAATTGCTATGTTCTAATTCCAAAAATGTAAATATTATCATTAAAAGTATTTAATTGTACATTAAAGTCATTTTAGAATCAAATAAAATATTATGAATAGGATAAACCAAAGATAAAAAGTATGCTCGAGAGGTAGAATCAGAATGACTTTGAAAAAGATAAAAGGGTCAAAGAGTTTATTAAAAGTATGAGAAAATTATAGGTTCAAACTATTTCTCTAAGAGGCTTGGATAACTGGAGCATGTGTTGAAAGGCTTCCAAGTCTACAACTTGCCTTTTTCCCAAAACAGCCGTACTCAGCTATATTTTCTACTTATTTTTCTTCGTTCTTAGGTAATGTTCATACTGTCAGAGCCACAGAACTGGGTCAACAGTGTTATCCAAATAAAGAAATAAATACTAATATTTCTAACTACCATCTCTACTAAAACTCTTACAGCCAATCATTTAAAAATAACTACATCTTATCTAGACCAAGGCTGTGAATGTTCTGGTTCCAGCACTACCCTTCTTTCTGAGCTGTAGTGTATGCATTTTACCCCTTAAGAAATTATGAGTGAGGGTTAGGGATGTGGCTCAAGCGGTAGCGCGCTCGCCTGGCATGCGTGCGGCCCGGGTTCAATCCTCAGTACCACATACAAACAAAGATGTTGTGACCGCCAAGAACTAAAGAAATTATGAGTGAGTATCTGGGTCTATATTTTAGAATATGCTCAGTTGTCAGATTTGGGGAATCCTTGAGCATGAACTTGTACCCATTTAAGGTCTTTACTATTCAGGTGTCTCTGAAACAAAGGCAGAAGCATATCTGTGGAGGAACCATCATCTCTCCACAGTGGGTGATCACAGCTGCTCACTGTGTGGCAAACAGGTAGGGATGGACTCACTCAAGGAAGAAAATCAGATCACCCCCTTCCTCTCCCTTGGAATCTTCAGTGATGACTCTTAAAATATGGGGGAAACTCTGATGCTATAACACAAATGGGGCTTGGTGACATTGTCAGATGCTACTCAACTAGGTTGAAAATACACATTCTTCACAGAGGTAAAATACTAAATTGTAATCAAGATCCTGTCTCCATTTTTGTCCTCTTTCATTTAAGTCTGCAAAATTTATTTGGATGCCCAGCTAGACACCAGGGAGTGCCAACATACAAAAATTGAGACACAATCCCTATCACCAGAGAGCTAATAGACTGAAAGAATAGTCAACTGATAATTTCTCCACAATGTGGCAGACAGTAGGCTAGTGAGATGTTGTATGTTAGATTAGGTACGTAATATAGTCAAAATTCAGAGGCATATACCAAGAGAAAATGATGCCCTTTCTAATTTTGTATAAAAGTATCAATCTTAAGATGAAGGATTCCAAAAAAAATGGTAAGCCAAAGCTCTTCATCCATCTCAACAATCCTACCAAACTCCTTTCTAATTACCCAGGAAGATGGGGTCTTTTCCATGTCGTATAAGGTCTTTAAATCACAGATATAAGGAAGGTAAGGAGAAGATCCCAATTTTCCCTTGTTGTAATTAGTTCTAAATCCTTGAGTGTGTGTGCTCTCTGTGACATTAGAGTTATTATGCTATTCTTCATAATATACACTCTGCATGTCTTTGACGTTGAAGCAGCATATTTAGTGGGAATCCCAAATCATTCTCAAAGGATTTCATTGGTATTAAGTTTGGAAAAATATCCCAGGATAGCTGACTATGATCCTCTAGACTTTAGAAGCCTGAATTACAATGTATATGCATCTCTAGATAATCAGAACTGATTATCTAGAGATAATAAATGTTAAGTTTATCATATCATTGCTCCATATGAAGCCACTCTTTACTAATTCTGCTCTGAAACTGGGGATCTCTGCATGTTCTTTCTAATAGCATTGGAATCATTCTCATTTTCTCAGCAACCCCACCACCCACATTATCTATATAATTTTAAAGAGACAAATTTGTCAGCGGCTGTACTGTGAGTTTCATTGAAATCCACCATTTTACTGCTCCCTCTTCATAGAAACTTTGCATCAACTTTGAACGTTACTGCTGGAGAACATGACTTGAGCCAGGAAGAGCCAGGAGAGCAAACCCTCACCATTGAAACCATCATTGTACACCCACGATTCACCATCAAGAAACCAATGGACTATGATATTGCCATTTTGAGGATGGCTGGGACCTTCCAATTTGGTAAACATTTGAGGTTCACCCTGATTTGCATGCCCCCTGTTCCCATGACCTTTGACTCATAATTCCCTGCAGTTCATATTATATAGCATGTACCCAGCTGTTCTAAATCATGTGTTTTGAGATAGAGATTTAGGCTGGAAGGTTCTCTACCTGAAACTCTCTCTGCTTGTAGTTCTGGATATAGAATTATGTAGAGTCAAGAGAGGAGATGATCTCTATCTGATAAGTAAATCCAGTAGGGTCCAGGCAGATATTACAACTCTCACCAAGGTGTTTGCACCTAGATGCAAATTGGTGAATGGCTAATGGCATCCTGTCCTCTGTGAATGAGATGAGCACTGCTTTGATGTTTCTTTTAGGCCAGTCGGTGGGACCTGTGTGTCTTCCAGAACCAGGGGAGAGATTTGAGGCTGGATTTATTTGTACAACTGCAGGCTGGGGCCGCTTGACTGAAGGTAAGAATACCTGTGCCATTTTTCTTAATCAGAGGTTTGAACTTTCTGGTGGGCAATCAGAAAATAGAATTTTAATCTACTTTTTTAAAACAGTTATGTCAACCTTTTGAAAGATAAAAAATGTAACATTGTACTTAGAAATTTAGGTTTTTCCAAAGGACACAAACCTGAATCCAGTTGATGAGGTGAATAGGGCATCTTCAACTCAGAAAGGGTCAGTGCGCCTTGCTGAGGCTCCTGTCCTGTGTTACAGATGGCATCCTCTCACAAGTCCTGCAGGAGGTGAACCTGCCTATTTTGTCCAAGAAAGAGTGTGTGGCAGCTCTGTTAACCCTAAAGAATCCATTTAATGGGAAGACCTTTCTCTGCACAGGCTCCCCTGATGGAGGGAGGGATGCATGTAAGGTGAGTGGCAGTGGCGGGCTGACAGGCTCCACCCAGGCAGATCTCTCCTCTGCTTTTTTAGCAGGTGAGGGGCTTCAGGAAGGCTAGTTCCAGCTGAACCTGGAATCTGGAAAGAAGAGCCAGAAGTAAAAAGGAAAGATAAAGTCAAAATAAAGTGAAAGTTTAAACAATCTGTTTTGAGCAGGGGTGTTCAGAGGAGGTTATCTGATTTTTTCAAAAAGACCAAATAATAGATATAGTGCCAAGAATAAGCTCAGGATTCATCCCTGCAGGATGGATGGAGCTTTCTTATTTGGAGTTTGTAGATGTTTGGAATTTTACTTGTCTTCTGTTCTCCCGTTGATCAAGAGCTGAGGTCAATTATTAAGTATCTTGTGGATAAAGAGTGAGCGCTGTAGGGCATCAGCACTGACAATGATGGTAAAAGAAGCTTCTTTCTTCTTCAGGGAGATTCAGGTGGCTCACTCATGTGCCGAAATAAGAAAGGAACCTGGACTCTGGCTGGCGTGACTTCCTGGGGTTTGGGCTGTGGTCGAAGCTGGAGAAACAATGGGCAGAAAGATGAGCAAGGGTCCCCTGGGATCTTCACAGATCTTAGTAAAGTGCTTCCCTGGATCCGTGAACACATCCAAACTGGTAATAAAGCCATTATGCGAGGTTAAGAAGTTGGTGTTTTCTGCTAGGGCAGATCATCAGCTGTCTAGCCAAGTCAGGACCAGAGTGAAGAGGTCTACTTCTGTTCTCAATTGGTGCATAAAGATTATGAAATTTGTTGTCAAAAACAAGAGCTGAATATGGTATGTGATACAGTAGAAAATGTTCAATGATATATGAATTCATACATTTTTTATTTTGTCAAGTTTGCCTTTAATTGAAACAGTTTCAACTTGAAGATATGTTTTCTCCACTTATTTCTCAGTTGTTCCAGCAAGATTCAGCTAGCTATAGCATAAAACAGTAGTAATTTTGCCACCCATGAAACTATTTAGGGGGATATTTGTGTTGTTACAACTAGAGAGGAGGCAGTGGCACCTACTGGGTAGGGGCCATGAATGCTGTTAAGTATACTATCAGTGCACAGTATGGCGTCCCACAAAGAATAATCTCATCCCAGATGTTAGTAGTGCAAAGGTTGAGAAGCCCTGGCACAGAACCAAGTTCAGTAAGTCAGAAAAGGCCAGCGAATGCATACCCCAGGGGCTGAATTGTAGCCTCATTTATATCTCCAAACTCAGCTTAGTCTTTTTTTTTTTTAACCTGGTTTCTAACAGCCTTAAAGGGCCTTCCATCCTTTCCTGAAACAGTTCATTCAAATTAGTTCAGTAGAAAACGACTTGTTGTGGAGCATATGGCACAGCATCAGGTACCTGAGCATTAAATTCAGGTTGTAGATATTCTAGAAACTTTTTTGTGCTTGTAGGAAAGTTATTTCCATCTCTAGCCTTCATTTTTATGTACAATCACCTCTTTATGTTCTGTGTAAATGTCATGTTAATCACTGGTTAATTACTGTCTGTTTCTTAATTAGGCTACTCAATAAACCAAGTAAAATCATCTCCTTTTTTATATCAAGACCCCTTTCATACTTTGTCATTTATCCTTTCTGTTCTTTCCACAAGAGTAGATTTTCATAGTAGTATATTGACTAAAAATTCTCTGCACATTTGAGCCAACTTTTTGAAATATTGTTTGTGATACCTAAGCTTTGAGTTGTGTTTTTCTTTTTCTTTCCCAGGACATCAAAGAAAGAGCTCCAGAGGTGGGTATTCCTGTAGCCTGCTCCACCAGGAGCATGAATTAACATTTAGCATTTCTGAATATCAGTTTCCTCTATAATCAAAAGTTACCCTCAGCAAGAGTTTTCATGTTTGCTAGGTATAAAACTACCAAGCACACCTGCAGCCCTGCTAGTTTGGACAATCACATGCCCACAGGAGCCCTGGATTTCCTCCTGTTTCTTTTCTTGTCTATTCAGTGCTCCATCTAATTCAGCAAACATTTGACAAACTCTAGCTTTGAATCAGAGACTCAGGAAAGAAAAGAGGTGGTACAGATGTGGTAAATAAGCTCCACACACCTCCCTGAAAGTGTCCTTCCTTATATCACATTGTATCCCTGTATCACATTGTAGCTCTGCAATTAATTCATCTAGTGATTTTGGGAAAGCTCTTTCCTACCTCTGGATCTCAGTTACTTCATCTATAAAGAATAGAGGTTGGACTAGATGGTCTTTAAGGCCTCTTTAGCTCAGATCTTCAATTGTTCTTTGAGCCCATAAAACTACCTACAAAAATGTCATATGGAAAATAGCATCCTCAGAGCTCAGAGGCTGCTTCTAGCTGAAAATTTAGTTGAAGGAATCATTCTTATCCAAGGATGGATATTAAGAGATGGAGGTAAGAGAATGCAGGATGTAAGAGACCAGTAAGTCAGCCAAAACTGTTGAAATGAAGGATGTGTAATGGGGTTTCATGAGAGAAAAGAATAGAAAGATAACTTGATAGCGAGTTATGAAAACTTGAAACATCAGCCAAAAATTTGGGACTTTATTGAGCAATAAGAATTTGATTAATTAGATAAATAGATTAGAACTAGACTTTCCTGATAAAAGAATGGACTTTATAGTCATTTTGTTGAGCAGTTGCAAGGAAGAGGAAAGAAACACAAACTTGATTCTTTGATAGTTTTGAGCATAAGAGACTAAGGATACAGAAAGTCATAAAGTCAGAAGTGGATGCAGATTTGCTGACCCAGAGAGATTCCATCAGCAGCACGTTGAGTTTCAGGGTGATAGCTAGAAGACCATTGCGAAATCTGTCTGAAATTCAGAAAAGCAGAGCTAATAATCAAAACTGAGGGTATGACTGAGACTGGTCAGAGGTCTGAAATATAGAGAGAAGATGAATGCTGGGATAGAACCTGGGAAATATCTGTATCCACAGAATGGGGTCAGAGGAAAGAATTAAGGAGAAAAACAAATCCAGAATCCCAAGGCTAAGCAGGATCTAAAAGGAACAAAAATGAATATGGCATCTCAGAAGGCAGGACAGGAAAATATTTCATAAAGAGTGAAAGAGTACATAAAGAATACCAGGAGGCTCCAGTGTCCTCCGCTTCTGGAAGGAGGGGCTATCATGGCCAGCCAACATCATTGACCCTGATTCCGTGACTTTCCCTCCTAGCATCATGCAGTGAAAAGGATGGTCTAGTCAGCGGGTCTGATGGGGAGCTGCACTTCCCAGAAAGTCTCCACGTGTATTATGACAGTGAGCAGTGAGTAGCCCCTTCTGTCACCCTTCCCCAGACTCCCACCTCCAGTCTGGCTACACCCATTGACTGGACAGCAATTGTCACTTTCTATCTAGAAATAACATCCTCTCCATGTGTCTGTCTGCAGACAGTGTGTATGGACCCTGTTGGCACCAGAGGGAATGCATGTGTTGCTCAGTTTTTCCCGCATGGATGCAGAGGCTTGTCACCACAATCACCTGGCAATGTATTCTTTGGAAGACAGACTCTTTGGTGAGTGGATTTTCACTCTGACCAGTGGAAATCAGTAATAAGTGGCTTAAAGAGGCCTGGTTACAATAAGTTTGGCATGGAGTCATCTGTAGATGCCACACTTCTGGTCTCCCAGTTTGAGACTCAGATCAGGAGGAGTACAGAGGAACTGAACCTGAGACTGCAGGGTCACAGGGCATTTCACTTCTGCATCATTTTCACTTGCTCTTATTAAACTGGGAGTAAAATCTAGGCATATTGCAGGGTCTCCCAAGCAGAAAGCTGCTTTCCCAGGCATGAAAAGGATCTTTACCTGAATTATCAAACTAAGAAGACAGATGATGACAGAAAACAATGAAAAGGAGACAACAGTTACATAAGAAACAGGAATGGAGTGGTGTCTCTGTGGTTCTAAACTGGACACGGTTTAGCCCCTCAGGAAATATTCGGCTATGTCTTAGAGACTTTTTTGGATGTTACAACTGTAGAGAGTATTACTAGAAAGATGTTAGGTTGTCACAACTGGAGGGTGTTTTACTGGTGGAAGCCAGAGTGCTACATAAGACACCAAAAAACAACAACAAAAAAAGACATAAGACACCCAATAGTGCTGAGATTGAGACACCCTGTTTTAGACAATCCTGAAATATCATGGAAAATTCAGTTCTCTTTAAGTCATTTAAAGGGTGATGTTTTCTAGATTCTAAGCCAAGAATCTTCTTTCTCATCTTGCAGGAAAACTCTGTGGAGAAATCCTCCCTTCGTCTGTTCTTGTTGGTTCCAATTCTATAAAGCTGAAGTTCATTTCTGATGCCACAGATTATGCCACTGGGTTTAATCTCACCTATAAAGCTGTTACCCCAAACTACTTTCCTGGTAAAACCATTTATACTTATCACAAGCCCTCCAGACCCTTTGAAAAAGTTTGGGCATCATAGGCATTAGCCCCCTGGCAAGGCCCACTAGTTTCATAGTGGAGGGGACCAACTGGCCAGCTTGAGAGCAGGGTGCAGTCTCTCCTTCCACAGCCTTGATGATTTGTATTTATCACCTACCCAAGTAAGCTGAGAAGACCCGAAGAATTCTATAAGATCTATGCACATCCCTCTTCCTTCTTGTTGGCTCTGTCTAAAGATTCAGTTCACGCATCACCTGTGAGAGATGGGAGGGAACAATGAGAATTCCTCTTCCTTAGGTGCTTCCATTTGTTTAGAATTTCTTTATGTATTTCAGATTCAGGTTGCAATTCCTTAACTATCCTTTTTAAAGAAGGCATCATACAGAGTCTTCACTATCCTGAAGACTACAATAACATGGCCAACTGTAACTGGATTTTTCAAGCCCCCAAACATCACATAATTAAGGTATTGACTTGGGTTACTCTTCCTTAGCCATGGCATATCCACAGAACAGCTATCAGAAGCACCATGCAGCAGAGGTTTTTATCTGAGTTATCCGCGGCTATATTCAAGTTTTAATTAAACACTTGAATAATGAGCCAGCTTATTTTCCCCTGCAACTATCCACTTTTACCACTAGATAGCACTTGCACTCTTTAGTTTTTGTTAAAAACAAAACCAACCCCCGCCCCCCAAAGTGGTGTTGTCTTAACCTTTGTATGCTGGTGACTTTATCAGTCTCTAGTTCCTTCTAGAAACAAGCATTTCTTCCTTACAATTCAACCTCTGACAAAACACTGTGTATGTAATGGCAAATAGATGTCAATAACAATTAGTCCAAAATCATTAAGCCTTCTAAGTAGAGGAGATAGAGCAAAGAAGAAACAATGCAGAACAGACACAGGGGATGACTAGATTCAAAGAATCACAAGTGTACTTGGGGTGGGGGCTGGTAGCAGGTGAGGTTGAGACCCTTTAATACCAGGATATGGTGTTTATTCCACATTTGCCTATGAGTGTTACTGGCCATTCATTGGTTTGTTTTCCCATTAAACACTAATGGACTATCTGCAGAGAGATGTCACTAGGTAGCTGAAGGTCAGGCTACAGTCAGGATGAGATTGGACTTAGGATTTATTTATAAGTATTTCTTTTAAAATAATAATTAAAAGCAAGGGGTATATGAAGGAGTAAGGGCAGACAAGACCTCAAAGTTCTCCAGTATGGGAGTATATTTCCTAACAGTAGTTCACGTCTTGAGAATTGGATGGTCATTAGGTGTTTTATTATTGTGTGACTGTTACAGAGTGTCTTCACACAACCAAGACAGCTCCAAGGTCACAAGATGTATAATCTTATGAGACCACTGTCCCATATGTGTTCCATTGTTGACCAAAACATTGTTATGCTGTGCATGACCATATTTGAACAGGAAAGAGATCTGAGATGCAGGAGTAAAACTGAATTGATGAAGTCACTCCAGAGAATGGATCTTCTCACTTAAAACACAAAATAAAACAAATAAACAAAAAGATGTGGCAAATAGTTTTGGGCTTACCACATAGAGTTTAAAGAGAATGAGAATTAAGGATGAACTATTCAGACACCACCACACCCCTCAATAAGGCAGAATAATTGGATTGGACAATTAAAAAGTTGAAAAAAGTTGGGCGTGGCAGTGTCTGAAGTACTAAAATAAGTCAGAAATTAGGAGCAGAAACAAGATCACATAAGTTTTACAAATGAGTGAGATGAGTATAGATCTTCTTTTTCTAATGTTTTCTGAAATCCAAAATAGAGTTAAGGCAAAAATTTCAGCAGAATTAAGGGAAAAAATTTATTCACAATGAAAAAATTTATTCACAATAAAAAAATTTATTCACAAAGCATATTTCTAGGAGGAGTAAGAAGAGGGAATTTAGTTGAAAACCGGAAAATTCTACTCTTCTAATGTCTTCCTCCAGAGCAAGTTGAGCAAATCCATATTTCTTTGCTTAATCAAAATAAGGTCATTCATCTGCATTGTTTACTCTTAGAATAACCTTCAGTCTTCTCAGCTGTCATTTCAGAGTCTGGAAATAGAAGAAAGTGGAGACTGCACTTCTGACTATGTGACAGTGCACAGTGACGTTGAAAGGAAGAAGGAAATAGGTTTGTGTTCCTCAAAGGCTCAGCTTCCCTGGTTTGCAATTAGACCCAGTCTTGAGATGATTGAGATGAAGGATATAGCTCAGTTTTCCTTAATTCCCCTGTACCACCACTCCTTTTTCAGGGGCAGAAGGAGAGAGACAGGACCAAAGAACCACTTGAATAGAAAATTCAAAAGGCCCACAATGAAGGAAGAGCCAGATGGGGAAAGTCCCATCAAAATAAGCCCTGTAGCTGGAACCAACTCTTGGCAGCGTTTTAGTGGGAGTGTGGCAGACGAAACAGAATTGAAACATCAATGGGGTTAAAAGAATTTTTTAAAAAGCAAGCTGCCTTTTTATTTTGAAAATGAAGTGTGATATTTACCTGAAAAGCTTACTTCTCAAACATTAACTAGAGGACACATTTTTTTTACTCCTATCCATGTCATGTTTATTTGCCTGGCACTGGTTGATGCTTTGGATGGGTCTTCAACCAGCTCGGCTGTGTGGCTATGATGTTCCTCCCCCCGTGCTGAGCTCCTCCAGTGTCATGCTCATCAACTTCCAATCAGATGAAAATGGCACCTTCAGAGGCTTCCAGGCTGCAGTCTCCTTCATTCCTATAGCAGGTAAGAAGAGGGAGGCAAGGATCCTTCAGTGTCTAATTCTAATCCTCATAGAGTGGTAATAAAGGGAAGCCTTTAGAGTCCAACATGGATCCAATTGATTTTCATAATTTGTGGTAATTAGATCCTATAAAGACACCGTGAACACTGAATAAGTGGATATTGAGCCATTGCTCCTAAGAAAATACAAGTTATTTTCCTAGGGACACTGTACATTTTTTATCAACCCATCAATACATAACTTTGTTTTAAGTGTCTCTGCTTAAAGACACATTATTTCATATGCATTAATGATTCATTAGCACTAAATTCAGAGCAAATAGCACTGTAACTCATATCTGAACAAAGCTTTTCTAACACATTCTGAGGTACATTGCAGTCTTCTTGCACTTAGCGACACTAGAGGGCACTTCAGCACTATGCTTGGAAGACACACTAAACTGAAGTCACCAACAAAAAGCACACCCACTAATGTGGTACTCAATAGACCACGAAAAGGACATTTGTTTATAGGATGAGAGCTGAAACAAGAAGGCAGGGAATTGCCTTATTTTACGTCAGCCGAAAACCTGAAAGTTAGATGTTTGTGAAAGCACCATGAATAATGCTTTTGAGGTTATGAACACATTTTAGTGAGTAGGTGAATTCACATATATGGAATCTATAAATAAGAAAGAAATATGGTGTGTCTGAATCTTGGCCTATCCTTACTAGATGTGTGGTTTTTAAGAAAGAATCATCTCAATGTCATTTTCAATCTTACAATGGGAGAATAATCATGTCTAGGAAAGAATGGAGTGGAGATTAAATCAGATAAGATACACTTGGCTATAAGCAAGGGCTCATATAACAAAAAAAAAAAACAGAACATGAAATATAATCACCAATCCCAGGCCCTGGAGACTACATATCTTTTTTCCCAGTCTTCACCATGATCCCTCTTCCATATGGGAGATCCCACGAAGCAATTATCTGCTTCCCAAGTTGTTCCTTCTTGATAAGAAACTACTGTTGGAAGAGAAAAGCCAGGTTATAGTTACAATATTCCACTTCTCAGTTAAAATACTCACAGAGTCCTTCTAACTGAGGTGTCCCAAAATTCTAACATTATCTCATAAGTCATTTTCTGATGATTTATAAGTCATTTTCTGATGACTTAATTCACACAAAGAAAACCAACCCTGGTTTTCTTTGTGTGAATTAAGTAATTATGTTATGTTTATATCCAGATTTAAACACCTCGGTATTAGAGGATGAACCAGTGTTTCTGGAGACATGGAATGTGCCATCTGAAGAAATTAATGCTTCTGGTAAGCTGTTTGGGGACTGTAACTACTTAATGTGTATGCGTGTGTATACACACAAACACACACACACATATGTATATACACACATATACATATATATGGAACATATTATCCAGGGTTCAGTCAGAGAAGCAGGTGTGATGGGTTGAATATGTTTTCCTTCCAAATTGTGTTGGAATCCTCCAGTACCCTAGAATGTGACTTTACTTGGATATAGGGTCTTTACAGAGATTAACTGAGTTAAAATGAGGTCATTAGAGTAGTCCCTAATTCTATATGAATGCTAGTCTTAATAGGGAAAATTTGGATGTAGAGAGACACACATAAAAAAGAATAACATGATATGAAGAAGAAGGCAGAAATCCAGTGACATATCATTTATAAGCCAAGTGTTTTAGTCAGCTTTGCAATGCTATGACCAAAATTCCTAACAAGAACCACTTAGAGGAGGGAAAGTCTATTTGGGGCTCTGGTTTCAGAATTTCTCAATCCATAGATGGCTGAGTCTATTGCTCTAGATCCAAAGTGAGGTGGGATATCATGGTGGAGGGACATAGTGGACAAAAATGGCTCACCTCATGGAGTCAGAAAGTAGAGAAAGGGGGAGAGATAGGGTCGAGAGTGAGGATGCACTCTTCCAGAGTATACCTCCAGTGACCCACCTCCTCTAAAGTTACCACCCAGTCAGTCCATTCAAACTAGCGTGAACTGACCAGGTTAAAGCTTCCAGTAATCTCTGAATATTCATGCATTAACACAGAAATTTTGGGGGGACACCTTATGCCCAAATCATAATACCAAAGAACACCGAGAGTTGCCAGTGAACCACCAGAAGCAAGAAAGGTCCATTGAACCTCCATCACAGATCTCCGAAAGAACAAACCTGCCAGCTCATTGATCTTGGACCTCTACAACTGCGAGACAATAAATTCTTGTTGTTCCAAGCCACCTAGTTTGTGGTACTTTATTATAGCAGCTCTAGCAAATGAGTGCTTCAGAATTTGCTTGCATGATTTATAAGAGCTGACCAAGCAAGAACATCCTTAAGGCAGGCAGACAGAAAGGGAAAATGTCGACAGTATTGAATCCACAGCAGGAACTGAAGTTGTTCTCCGTAGGCAGTATCTCTTCTCTTTTTTCAGGAAGCCTCAGCCCTGCTTTTAAGACCTTCCAACTCAATACGCCAACCCACACAGATTGTCCAGGATGATTTTCCTTACCTAAAGGCAATGGATTAGGGATGATAGCTGCAAACTTCCTTCACAGCAACACCTAGTGTTCAACTGAATAACTACAGGTTCAGATCCAACCAAGTTGACATATCAAAAGGGTCATTGTCCCTTCTGTTCAAAGCAACACTGAAATATTTCCAGTCCAAGAATAAAACCTCCCTTCTTAACTGACTCATTTGGTGGGGATGACTCAATTATGTGCCAACTCCTGTTCTGACTCACAAGATCTTTCACTGAATAACAGCAAGTATCCCACTATGTTTTAACACCAATGAGTTTTGAAATTTACTGGGATTTACCATTTCCTTGTGTTCTCCATGACATCCACTGACATAGACATTGATATCCTGTTCCATATAGATGACACATTGGTGAGGGGACCAGGCAGAGGATGGAAGTGGGGAAACTTTCATACTTTGCCATTTTAATAGTTTGTTAAAAGTCAAGCATATTATTTTTTATTTATTTCTATTTTTACAAATTTTCTGAAACATAAAACACATAATAATAGAGTGGAGTGGATAGTGAATATTACTTGTAATGAGAAGGGATGGGAGCAGTCTGAATCTTTTCATTCTGTCCTCCTTGACAAAGACCTCCTGATGCACAGAGATCCCAGGTGAAGTGTGGCTGCAATATTTCCTTCTCTTGGCCACTAGGGAGTACATTCAGCACAGTCATTTTTCATCAGCCTAAACCAAACAGTATTTTCCAAGGAATCTAATTACAACCCTCAGTTACAGTTATTTTATTCCCAGGACCTGCTGCAATGCCCGGAACAAAGATGGTATCAAATAAATATTTGGAGAATAAAATTAAATAATTCACAATATATCCTGAAGAACATTTTCCTAATTTTCTCTCACTGAACTCAAACCTTCTTTAAAACTTTCTTCCTTTATATGTGACCATACAAACTTAAGGACAAGAAAGTTCACATGTGTCTGATTTTAAATATCACACCTACCCAGAGGACTCAAACCCTAAGATAGAATATCTTCTAGTGGGTAGAAGATGAATGTAAGATATATTGTAGATATTGCAACTAAAATATTTGAAGACTGAATAGTTAGAGCAAAAAAAAAAGAGGGGGTCAAAGGTGAGCTTGATATTGTGCTCCTGGGTGAGAGACCCACTTCAGGTAATGTTTGTTTTTTATCTCTCTAGAATAGAATAAATATTTTTATCATTATTTCCAGGTGTCTCTCCATTGGCAATAAATATGCATCTTCTTGGCCCCAACCCAGGTGGATTATGAGATGCAAGAAGGCCACAGCCAGCTCCTGGCCATGGCTGGCCTGCCTGCAGATTGCCACTGAGTATCTCCGTAGAGGCACTATTATCCAAAAAACCACTGCTCACTGCCTCACCAGTAAGAAAGTACACTGGGCAGTGGAAAGTTGTGAGGGATGATGGTTTAAATGGTTTGATTATTAACCCTCCAGTCACCGTCTCTGATACTGATCAGGGTCTGCTGTGAGTTACCTCTGGGTCCCCCCTTCATTACCATCCTGAGCAATCCCTAAGTGCACCAGAAAGCTCTGCCATGTCACATCGTGTTTTTAGTATATTCTAATTAAGCATGATGTGGACTATTAAATACATACTTGTTTAATCATATCTTCTTTTCCTAGGAATTATCATATTTTCTTCCCTATTAATTTTTAAATCAAAAATTAATATTGAATTTTGTGAAATACTTTTTAGCAGATAGTGATATGATTGAATGATTAATTTACATTAAATCCATACTAAATAGATTTCTTAATGTTCATTTGCTCCTGAAATGAATTCCACTTGGACATGGCACCTCATCTTTCAGAGTTCTTCTGGGTTCTATTTACTAATATTTCTCTTAAATTTTTGTAACCACATTTATAATTTAAATTTAATTATATCAGAGATTCTCTAAGTATGGTCTGGAGACACTTGAGGATCTACAAAATCTTTTTACAGTCAAAACTACTTTCCTACTAAAACTAAGGTATTGTTCTCCCTTTTTATTCGAATTCTCTATGGAGTGTATGATAGAGTTTTACAGAGGCTAGATAACATCTGCTATCTCAATAGATTGAATATAAAAAGCAGATAATAAAACCTGTCTACATTTTATTTAACCAGAAACTAAAAGAGTTTTACAAAAATGTAAAACAAGGCCAATCTTATTATTTTGTTGTTGTTGTTTGGGAATTTTATTTGCATGAACATATTACGTAAAGTAAATACCTAATGTTTTATTATGATTGTCCAAATAAATTAAGAAGTGAATTCTTTTTTAAGAGAGAGAGAGAGAGAGAAAATTTTTTAATATTTATTTTTTAGTTTTCAGTGGACACAACATCTTTATTTTATTTTTATGTGGTGCTGAGGATCGAACCCAGCGCCCCGAGAATGCCAGGCAAGCATGTTACCGCTTGAGCCACATCCCCAGCCCAAGAAGTGAATTCTTAAATGTTTGCCTTAATTTCTAAAGTGACAAATATTGACAAATAGAGCTCACATAAACAAAGCTCTTTAAGACACTCAGTGATTTTTTTTTTAAAGTGTAAAGGTGACCAAAATGTTTGAGAGTTGCTGACCTTCGATTTTCTAATTAGCTTCTGCATTTCTCTGAAATTCTTGTCAGAGTTTTTTTTAAAAACTGGGGATTGTTTTATATTTTGCACACAATTTACAGGACAAGAATAATAAATAATATGTTGTGTTTTTGGTATATATAAGAATAGTATACAATATATAAATAATAATAAATAATGATGTCATGTAAGTACACATGCTAAATAGCTTTTCCTTAGAGTCTTTAAGTTAACCCTTCTCAATTTCCTTCACAGTTATTGATTTTCAGATTTAATTTTTTTTCTTCAGACAATTTACATAACAGAATCTCCTAGTAATAGTTATACCATTCATATATTCCTACTTGTTGCCTTGAGTTGTACAAAACATTCCCTGATGATTAATCCATTTTGTTTTGGAGATAACTTTCTACTTTGTTCTTGATTTTGTACTTTTTAAAAATCTTTCTAAAAAAATTACACTGGGTAGTGTTTTGTCCTTTCATAGACATTTTTTATCCTCAGAAAACAGCTACATTTTGGACAGGCATGGTGCCGCACACCTGTAACCCAGTGTTTTGGGAAGCTGAGGCAGGAGGATCCTAAGTTCAAAGCCAGCCTTAGCAACTTAGTGAAGCCCTAAGCAACTCAGCAAGACTCTGTCTCTACATAAAATATTTTTTAAAAGGGGTGGGGTTCAGTGGTTAAGTGCCCCTCACTTCAATCCCAGGTAACAAGAAGAAGAACAAAAAGAAAATAGCTACATTTCTTTTTAGTGAATGTATTTCCTCTGATTGTGTGGTATTGAGAAGTTTCCTGAGGAGGACTGATAGATAGGCACAGTTATAAGCTGTATTGATGTTAGATTAGCAAGAAACTTCAAGAATTGACTGTTTCCATTAGAGATCTTAACTATGCATATGATTTCAGACAGATCGCTTCATGTTTCTGAGTCTAGTATCTTCCATGTACATTGCTATGACTTGAATGTCCCCTCTAAAACTCATGTTGAAATTTAATTGCTACTGTAAGTTTTGAGAGGTGAGATCTTTAGGAGATGTTCAGGTCCTGAAGGCTCTGCTCTCATGAGTGGGAGTCGTTTAGTGAAGAGTTTCTATGTGTTCTGGCCAGAATCATGAGCCAAATAAATTCTGCTTATACGTCACCAGAATACCAGCCTTAGATACTCTGCAGAGCAGTAGAAAACAGACTAAAATGGCTTGGGATGTGGCTCAGTGATAGAGCACTTGCCTAGCACATGCGAAGCCCTGGGTTCAATCCCTAGTACTGCAAAAAATAATAATAATAAATAAATAAATAAAAAGAAAGAAAATTAAAACATGAACAGAAGACAGAGGACAAGACAGCAGAACATTAGAACCTGCAGAACTGCTAGATAGAATGGCTGCTGCTATCATTATGAGGGTTAAGCTAGCAGCCTTGTTTCCCCCTGACCCCAGAGTTTCTGAGTCTGAGACAGTCACTTTCCATCTCCACATATTTTAACGAGACGATAATTGAAATTTCTCATCCTCTCATTTTCTTAGGAACCGAATGCATTTTCCTGGGTGGTGAATCCAGGATCCATGATTTAGCTAAAGATGCTCTCAGGTCCCGAAGCCTCAGAGCTCCCCTTCTCTCCAGCCAGTGCTGGCCATGCATTTCCCTGTGACTGCTGCAGCCCCACTAGTCTGTGCAGCTCCAGTGCTGACCAGGACTGGCCACAGATGTTTCAGGGGTGGGGTACAGAATTTAGATGGAATGTTCTTTCCCTTAATGTCAGCAGAGAAACAGGGAAATATTGAAGAGCCAAGTTTGTTGGTTGGTTCATGCTGCACAACAGGGACCCTCTACTTTATGACACCACTGAAGATTTATCTGCAGACCAGATTTGTCTTGTTTCCAGTCCTCACAAGACTATAAAACTAACAACAATCACTTAAGAAGCCAGGTGGGGCACTTGCATCAGGTGGCACCAGGTACCCACACTGTGAATTACTTCCTGTCTTAGGGGAATGCAAGTAGACCAAGCTCCATGCTCCTCCCCTCTTCAGTGGGGATTTTTAACTGCTTCTTTGTCTTATTAAAAAGTCCACTGAGCACATAATTATACACTCTACCTCTGAAAGCATCACTGAGGACTGTGACCTGGCACCATTGCTGCTGGTTGATCCACTTCGATCCATCAACATGCTCATTCGGCCTGTCAGCCAAGAGGCCAGGGGCTGCCTGCTTCCAGGTGGTGCGGGGTCACAGGATGGGGCTGTCTTACAGGTCTGTGATCAACACTCCCATGATGTCCTTACTACCTTACTCTGCAGCACTTCATAGGCTCCGGTGTCCTACTCTCTTGGTTCCTCCTCACACTTCTTTCACAGGGGAAAAAAGTGGGAAGGATACTTATTCCCATATTAAGAAAAAAA